AGGGGGGGGGCGGGGGAGAAACAGAGTGTCGATTACACCCTGACCCTCTGACCCGTAACCCCATGACCTTTAACCTCGACCCTGACCCACTCCTGGACCTGACTCTTTGATCCCAGAGTATTGAGACCAAAATGATCTACATCAAGAGCTTCCCGCCAAGCGTGCCACCCCTGGACACCCTCAGCATCGTCAGGAACATACCCTGGGTGGACGGGGATGAGGCGCTGCTCAATTTTCTGGCGGTCAGTCTCATTTTTAGAAGACCATTTCTTATCCCATCGTGGGGTTTTTTCTGGCTCTCAGTTATATTGTTTTTTATTCGTATTATAATGTATATTCATTTATGCGTTTCTACTACAATTTTCTAGCGGTCAGTGTCTTTGTTTAGAAGACAATTATGAGGCAGCGTGGTGGAATCAGGCTCTCGTCAAAATAATCAAAGCTAAGAAACTTGCATTTTTCCGCAGGTTTGTGAATTTTAATTTTTTTTTGTTTGAATTAACACCTTTCATGCTCATTAAAGAACTCATTTCTGTGTGGATTTTTCTGAAAAACATTGATTAAAGGCACCCCAAAAAATTTTTTTCAGTTACCACGGACTCTTAAGCTAAGGAAATAACTAATCTTTGACGGCCATTTTCCCCTTAATTTTACATCTGAAAACAGGCGACTCCCACCTCCTTCATTCGCAAATATCTCGACTTGTATTCAAGATAAATGGATGTTTTTTCATCAAAATAAAGACAAGTGAACAAGCATTATTAAGATGATACAAATAACTCTACATGCCCAAAAATTGACGAGAGCCTGATTCCACCACGCTGCTTCACAATTTATCATACTATTTTGTGGCTCTAGGTTACACTAATATCTATTCGTATAAAACAATTTATATTTATATATGTATGCGTTTCTATTACAATTTTCTAGCGGTCAGTCTCTTGGTTTGGAAAATAAATTACCATTTTTTTTCTGGTTATCGGTTGTATTATTATCTATTCATATTACAATTGATATACATTGATGTATTTTTTGTATACTTTTCTGGCGGCTAGACCATTTATTTAGAAGGTTAATTGCCATATTGTTTTTTTCTGGCTCTCGGTTATATATTATTATGTATCATTACTTATTCGTATTACAATTAATATACATGTATGCTTTTCCGTTACAATTTTCTAGCGGCCAGTCTTATTTAGAAGAAAACTTATCATATTATTTTTTTTTGGCTCTCGGTTATATTATTATTTATTCATTTTACAATTGAAATACATTTATGTAATTTCTATTACAGTTTTTTGGCGGTCAGTCCCTTTATTTAGAAGAGTATTTGTCATATTGTTCTGTATGGCTCTCTGTTATAATATTATTATTTATTCACACTATTACAATTCATAATATACAGGTATCAATGTATGCTACAATTGTCTACTGGCCAAGCTCATTATTTAGAAAACAATTTGTCATATCATTTATTTCTGGCACTCCATCGAATCCTGTACATAACAATTGTCTGGTGGTCAGTTTCACTATGCATTACTAGCTGGGTACCCTTTCGATGAACGGACTCAGAAGAATCGATCATCAAGTCACTGTGGAAACAGTGCGCATTTCTTGTGATCAGACGCCTCCTTTGTTTACGATGGTGTCTTAGAAGACGGACTTTCTAAGGATTCGATCTTAACGAAACTATTTTTTAAAAACTGAAAATTAGCCTAAGTGACTTCAGACTCCTTAATATAACTGTGCACCGCATAAAAGATTCCGAACAACCGTTACTATTTTTGGTGAAATTCGAAAGTTAACTGGATCGGAACTTTTAGGTGACCAAATTGGCGGACTTTCACAAATAGAAAACTCGTAGAATAAAGATGTCACAATACAATTTTCACCTTGTCAGTTTCATCATTTATTTAGTAGTTTTCATGTCGTCAGTCTCGTTATTTATATTACAATTAATTTTTTTATGGTCAGTCTCACCGCATATCATTTTCTCATTGTTAGCATCGTTAATTTAAAGGCCTCCACTTTTCTAGGTTGCAGTCTCATCATTTAAATTACATAAATACATGCATTTCGCTTCCACTTGTCTCATCTTATTTTGGTCAATTTTCTGGCGGCCTCTCTCATCAGCTACAAAGAGAGACAGAAACATTCAGCTGGCCTCTGTGGTGTAGTTGTTATGCACTTCACTGTCGCATGCAAGAAACCCGAGTTCGATTCCAAAGGGGGACATATCTATAAAGTATTTCGGTCTTTCTGCCGGGATGTTATATCCCTCTCAGCCGGGGTTGGCCCTCACAGGCAGAGCAGGAAGCCTGCCTCCTAAAGTATCTTAACTGAGTCAATTAGGGTTGGAAGGGGCATAAAAATACCGACATTAAAGGCAGAGACAAAGACAGGCTGCATGGAGTCAATGTTGTACAACTACATAGAATCATTAATATTATTATCAAAGGTCCTCAGTGAATAGTTGGTGGGTGCTCTGGTGTGGTTTGCTTCTTCTTTCCTGTCAAACATCTGTCGTCCTTATCTTCCCTCCTTCATTTTTTATGTTTGTTACTCTCTTGTAGGTAGTTGGCGGAATGAGATTCTCACCGACAGCGACCTGTGAAATCCACTCAAATATTGAGCCATTAGAAACCTCTAATCTTCTGGCGCTCATATGACCTTATGTAGTTGCGAGCGCCTTAAAACCTCTACTAAAACCTTTTTTTTTTTAAAGCGTCCTCACTATTTCTGTACGGCAGAGAGCTGGAAAGGCCATGGTCTTCTCACCACGTGACGTCATTGTGACACAGGGTCACATGCCCACTGGGATCTTCATCATCCTCTACGGTTTAGTTCGGGTAAGGACGGTTGCCCTTCTGTCAATCAGGTCCACAGTTTCTGTATCTGTGGCATCGGTTGCATACGCTTGAGAAATATTTTATTGAAATTCAGATTCTAAATGTTCATCAAAAACGAAAAAGGATAAATAAATGATGTAGGTACAATCGCAAATGTCCCCCAAAAAAGAAACAATTCTTATAAAAATATGTCTTCAGAACAAAAACAGCTTTCTGGGCTGAGAACAGTTGAACAGCTTGCAGGCGATATCTTACTCCCTTTGTTTGTTTTTTTGTCCTTGCCCATTTCTAGGACATTGACGCCATCTGATTAGTAGAAAAATGTGCGTATGAGAGTGCCCAATAATGTATAACGTACAAAATTGTTATGACACATAACTGTTACGTATAGATGTTTAAGATAATTATAGATGTTTGTGAAGGATCTGAGAGCAATGATGACCTTAGAAATGACGGTCATGGTGGTGGTAAGTGATGATGTGGGAAGGCGCTTACGTTTATAATTATAAGAAAACATGCTTCTGTTATTTGTAGTCCTATCTTCCTCTGCTCTGATGAGTCACGAGGGATGTGGGCACCCGCTATCCCGTTCCCTACTGGAACCATCTTTAATGTCACCGTGAAGTTTCGAAATGGTGGGCACAGTCTCTGCTATGGTGACCTTGTTAGTATTAGCCTATTCTAGCGGGTCAAGACAAGTGAAGAGAGGACCTTAGTAGGTAGCTAGTACAGTGGCAGAGATTATTTTTGGGGTTTCGTAAGGGGTTTGCAGGTAGCAAGTTCACAATTGGGTTAAAGACTTAATACTTCTTTAAATATGAAGTTGCGGAGATTCCGACACAGGATCCTCGAACCCGAGTCGAGAGGGAACAATTTACACACTTATGTAAGACAGACAGTTGAGACAGCTTAACTTGAAACAGCACACCAACAACCTTAGAAAGAAGGCTAGGAAGAAACTTAATCTCACCAAACGACTAGCTAGTATTAACTGGGGATCAGTAAAAAAATAAACCCCCAAAAAACACACCTTGAGAGGCCTCTGTTTAGGGTATACTAGAGCTGGGTTTTTTAAATTATAATCTTGTTCTAAAAAACATTTGCAGTAAAACTACAAAGAACTCAAGGGGCACCATTCAAAACCAAGCTCTCACCGACAACGACCTGTGAAATCCACACAAATATTGAACCATTAGAAACTCTAAGAAAACGTGCATCTTTGGAAAATTACCCCCCAAATAGAATTCTTGTTGACTAGTGAAAACCCAATCAAAGACTAAAAAATACAAAATCTGTGTTTGACACAGTCTTCCATCTCCAAGAAAAACATCACCTACCTGAAAGATGACAACCTCTGGAAAGAGTCCCCTCAATTCTCCCACCACATATCACAGTAGCAAAGCTAGAAATTAGGAAAACACTTTTGAACAAGAGCAAAAAGAAAAAAAAAACCCACATACCTTGTGGCACTCAAATATTCTGCACTTGAAACAATTGAATCTTACCCACTAATATGGATCCACTCATACACTAATAGATCTGCCTTTAAGGCAACAATCAATGGTGGGTATTGGTCGGTGATTAACTTGCCCAATGGGATAAAAAAAAAGAAGTCTTTAATTCCAGCGGGCCCTTTAGCTCCAACTTCATTGCCGAACAACAGGCTATCACCAACGCAGCAAATTACTTCAACTACTTGTTTGAAACTAACCCTCTGGCTACTACAGACATTGTTATCTTACAGACAGCCTTTCAACACTAGAGACACCTGAGGGGGGGGGGGGGGGGGGGGCTCTCGTGGCCTAGAGGTTAAGGTGTTGGCCTCTCATTCAAAGGTCCCGGGTTCGAATCCGGGTAGCGACCAAAAAATGTTCTTCTCTAAAATTGTCTCCTTTCACTTACTTTCCTGCTCTCCAGCAATGTTCTGTTGTCTACTTTCATTTCCACTTTCTGCCCCCACCCCTCACCTCCTTTGCCCCCTCCTCTGGGCTCCTTACTCTTTCTGCAGCCTTTCTACTGCTACTCCTTGGCTCCTCCTTACTGCTGTCTTTCTGCCACACCCCTGATCTTCTGGTAGGAATGATCTACACATAGCCTTCTCGGACAAGGGCGAAAAATCTCGGAGGGCCTGTGGGCAAGTTGCGCACGTTAAAGATCCCTTGGTGGTCTAAAATCGGTAAGAGTAGGCTTCGGCCGCCACACGGGCAAAATTCAAAATTTCCTACCAACTGAAAATATTAGGTCTGTTCCGCGCGCTCATATGGCCTTATGCAGTTGCGAGCGCCGTAAAACACTTTACAAAAACAAACAAACAAAAGACACTTGAGAGTGGGACTTATGTGAACAAAGATATATCACACTTGATTTGGAGTCTACATAATTTGATGAGTAGGCACCATATCAGAGTGGTCCTACAATGGATTCCTGCCCACACTGGGATACCGGGAAATGAAAGAGCTGATGCTCTAGCAAAGAAAGGAGCTAGCCTCCCTCAGCTTGATATTCCTACTGATTACCCCACCTGCTGCCAAATGATCAAGTCGAACCTCAAGGAAAACTGGAAAAACGCTTAGGACACAGGTACGACAGGAAGGATGATGTAAGGCCACATGAATAAACCACTGGTCAAAGATGCAATCAATGAGTTGAGAAGGGGAGATGAATTTATAATCTTCCAACTTAGAACACAACATGTGCCCCTCAATGAAATCTGAACTGAATTGCATTAAAACAGTCTGTTGCCTGCCCACTATGTGACTACCCCTGAGAGGCAGTTCAAAATCATCTGTTCTTCTGCAGAAAAATAACCGATCTGAGGGGGTGTTTTCTTCCCGAGCTACCCCACACATTGCTCTTACTGCCTCTACTCCTCAAGACAACCATAAGAACAGACATACAGCTATTACAGAATGGCATCATGCAGAAGAGTTAGCGCTCATTTGCTACTGGAACGCTAACAACAACTCACTTATGTACCCACTTACCCACCCAATTACCTACCTTTGCAAGATTTGCCCATCTACCCACCAACCCACCCTCCATTACCCATCAATATAAAGTAAAGTTGTTACCGCATCCCATCCGGACATTGGGGATTGTCTTGTTAGTGAGACAACTTCCTGGGCCTTCGACACGAATCAACAAATTAAAACAGAGAGAGAGAGAGAGAGAGAGAGAGAGAGAGAGAGAGAGAGAGAGAGGGAGAGAAAGAGAGAGAGAGAGAGAGTGTGTGTGTGTGTGTGTCTGTTTGTGCGTGTGTGTGTGTCTGTGTGTGTGTGTGTCTGTGTCTGTGTATGTGTGTGTGTGTGTGTGTGTGCATGCTCGAAAATCATGTATTTTTTAAAAATAAAGTCCTGTCTTGTTGTGTGTAAGCGAGAGCACACCTAGTCTTTGTCACATTCCACGGCCATTGTAAACGACCAAAACAAATTTCTCATTATAAGATTACTATAAGACTGTCATTGTCATGTCATTGTCAAGATAAAACAAATGTGAGGCAGCGTGGTGGAATCAGGCTCTCGTCAAAATAATCAAAGCTAAGAAACTTGCATTTTTCCGCAGGTTTGCGAATTTTAATTTTTTAAAAACCATTTTGGCTCAACACTTCATGCCCATTAAAGAACTCATTTCTGTGTGGGATTTTCTGAAAAACGTTGATTAAAGGCACAAAAAAAAAAAAAATCAGTTACCACGGACTCTTAAGCTAAGGAAATAACTTATATTTGGCGGCCATTTTCTCATTAATTTTACCTCTGAAAACAGGCGACCCCCCACCTCCTTCATTCGCAAATATCTCGATTTGTGTTCAAGATAAATGAATGTTTTTTCATTAAAATAAAGACCAGTGAACAAGCTTTAAGATGATACAAATAACTCTGCACGCCCAAAATTGACGAGAGCCTGATTCCACCACGCTTCCTTACAAATCTACAACACAATCTTGAATGTAACTTAATGCAGTTTTCCCCCAGCATAAGGAAACAAAAGAGACATTTACAAAATCGTGTTTATCCCCCTCTCTTTCTGTTTAGGTGGAAAAGGTCGTGAACTCTTACCTCTTTGCGCCAAGACCGTACAAACCAGGTTGGTTATGTGTAAGACTGATGTCGTTACAGATGACTTACCACTTCTATCTATCTATCTATCTATCTATCTATCTATCTATCTATCTATCTATCTATCTATCTATCTATCTATCTATCTATCTATGTATCTATCTATCTCTCTATTCATTGGTCTGTCTATCGGTCTACCTATCTATCTATCTATCTATCTATCTATCTATCTATCTATCTATCTATCTATCTATCTATCTATCTATCTATCTATCAGTCTATCTATCTGATGTCTGTCCAAGAAGTAATTTTCCCTGTTCTTTACAATCAACATTTTAAAAATATATATTTCACAGACCTGAAATGTTATATTTACCACCAGAAACATTTTTTCTATTCAACGTAACAGCCATTGATCTTAATTCGCATTTTGAACATTCGAATATTACAGCCAGCGGTCAAACGCCGTGACCATGTTCGCTTCAGCCAGTCCTGAGCCCAGTATTTGTTTCGAACACAATGCATTCCTCGTCATTAAATCGCGCCCCCCTAAGTCCTTCTTTGATTTTGGGGAAGAAATGCATCGTCTTATGCGCTTGTGAGTGTCGGTTGTATTTGCATGTATTGGGACAATAATAATAATATATATATAAGGAAAACCTGAATAGATGGGTGACGAGGAAACATCAGGAAAATGTGTGGTTTTTTAAAGCATTCAAGGATAGAGATGAA